TGTGGCCTACTAACTGGAGCCCGACTTAGCAAGCTTGCGTACTGTGAAGAAGCATTTGCAAGACCGCAGTTAAGCTTATGTTAGAATTCATTAGAAATAAATTTTGGTAGCTATCAAAGCTTAGACTTTTTTTGCTAAATTGGTTTTGCATAGCTACAATTATGCTTCCTTAACTCACCCACCAGGAAAGTAACAGACAAGTAGCCGTGTTAGTCTGATCTTGGGCGGGTGGGGAAGAACAGTCATGTAGCACTTTAAAGACTAACAAGATAGTTTTTAGGTGATGAGTTTTTGTGGGGCAGACCCACTTCTTCAGATCATATTCAGATTATATAACCGAGGGATACAATGAAAAAAGTAAACAAATTACAAACTACTGAATCAGCTACATAGAACAGAAGGTGGAATTGTGTTAGTGTCTTACCAGACAGTGAAGAAATTTAGACTCTGGATACACTACCATAAAAGTCAGTGAAGGACTGGGGGCCAGGTCAGAAATGTTTTAAGTGACCCTGAGCTGCCCCAAAAGGGGTGGGGCCTCAGGCTGAAGGGGTGGGACCAGGACACTTCCATGTTTTCCCCACCCACAGACCCTTTTTGGTCTGAGAGTGGGGGAGCATGTGAAGTCTTTGGCCCTAACCATCTCCAGAGAGAACCGCCAGTTCTGAACAGTTGGCGGTTCCTCTAGGTGCCCGCACCCCTGGTGATGGGAGAGTACTTTGTGTGCTACCCCCACCCTCAGGTCAATTGGGGCCAGTGGGCAAGGGGAGCAGGCAAAGTCTGTCCCCGCTGTGCAAGGGAGCATCATACTTAGTCACCCACCAGCTAAGCAGCAGCTGGCGGTTGAGACTAATTGCTGAGCCCCTTGCAGGGCAGGAAGAGACTTTGTGTGCTCCACCTGCCCCTAGGCCAGTCAGGGCTTAGGGGCAAGGGGAGCATGTGAAGTCTCCTGTGCTGCAAGAAGCACACAGAGCTTCTAATCACTGTGCCCTTCTTGCAGGGTGGGGACAGAGTGGGAGGAGACTGTGTGCTTCCCTAGGGGCAGGAGAGCAGCAGGATCTCCGTGGGCCCGATCAACCCACTTAGGCCAGATCTGCAAAAGTTATTCAGTTATGCCACTCAGAGGTGTGAATTAGCCACCCTCTTAAGTTGCCATAAGTCATATAGCTTAAGTGTCAAGGTGTAGTGTCATTGGAGAGCTTCTCCTGCTGACAAAGCTATGGCTGCTTATGGGGATGGAGTAATTAAGCTGATTGGAGGGGGAGAGGAGAGTTCTCATCAGTGCAGCTGTATTGCTGTAAGCTCTTTAGTGTAGCTGTAGACCTACATAGTTTCTGTCCCTCCTCTGTCTGTTCAGTCTTATCTGGGTGCTTCATAAAACACCTTTTCCAAGGAAACCAAGCATGGGGAATAGAGGTTGTACCGAACATCCTCCTTAAGAGTACTGTGTCAAATGACACCGGCATGCTCCCAGGCTGATGTCTGTAACTGCTGGTGTCTTATATTGCCAACTACACAATTTAACTCTTCTTCCCCCCCCCTCCCCTCCAGTTTTTGCTTTCGGGAAATAATGAGACTGAACGATGCCATATACATGCTTTCAAGTGTTCTGATCAGTCAGCCAGTTTACTAGTTGGGGCAGAGAAACTTTTTTGCTGTTTGCTGGTCATGAAGCAGGCAATCTGCTACAGGGTGTCCCTGTTATAAGTCACCCCGGTATATGCTGGTTTCGCAGTAGCGTCATTGATGCTTGAGGGAACTGATCTGTTTAAAGTCTTCCTATTTCCCACTCTTTCATCATGCCAAAAAAAAGACCTATTCGTACAAGTGGAAGTCAGCTGCGGGAAAAAATTTCCCTGCTTTACATCCTTTCACTATACGTTCAAAACAACATGGACTTATAGCGGGGATGCCCTGTACAGCTTTTTTTGTTTGGTTTCTCTGTTGGATTTGGACTAATGTGGTCTGTCTGTCTGGCATTCATGCCATAAGGCCATCTCAGATGAAAGAATGTAAATTCCTTATTCTATTGTCTTCATTTTATACCTTCTGAAATTTTTTCACATAAGGGAAATTGACTTAATATTTCTGAACCACACTTTAGTCAGACTGTCTGGCAAGAGCTAAACGTCTTGCCTTAGATTTCTCAATTACACAAGTCACCAAACTTCTGTACACCCACACCTGCTGCAGTCAGAGGGAGAATGTGCTACAGCAATGCTTTGCCTGCTCATGACACAAACAAATTGCTGTTCATTATTCAGGTCATCATCAGCTCTTTTCTTTCTTATGGCCTTAGATTTGCAGTAGATAACTGAGCATGTTGACATGTAAACTGTCATAAATGGATATCCGTTAACTCTCTAATTGGGAATAGTTTGTTGCTCTATTTTTCAGTTGCCTATAGACTTAGGGAGGTATCACTGGATCAATTTATGCTTCGTTGTGAGGGTTGTGAGTTCAATCCTTGCAGAGGCCATTTAGGGATTTGGGGCAAAAATTTGTCAGGGATGGTACTTGGTCCTGTTGTGAAGGCAGGGGACTGGACTTGATGACCTTTCAAGGTCCCTTCCAGTTCTAGGAGATAGGCAATCTCCAATAATTTATTTAGTTCAGCTCTTGACTGACTGACTCAAATCTCCTGGACCTTTTAGGTAAGGCAGTTAACACAGATAGGAGATGGTGTTGTGCTTAGTGTCTGGCACACAAAAGGGAAACAATACATCACCTTCAACTTGGGTATTGCATGGTCTCCCTCTCCTTCCTCCATTCCCTCCTTTTATGCTATTATGAGGAAGGGGAAGTTGGTTTAATCTTGGAGAAATTCTTGCCAAAATTAAATTCTGTGCACAATATTTTAAAATTCTGCAATTTTTTTATTACATAACATCGTAGAAGCCAGCCAGTTACCTGAATATAAGAACATAAGAATGGCCATACTGGGTCAGATCAAAGGTCCATCCAGCCCAATATCCTGTCTGACGACAGTGGCCAATGCCAAGTGCCCAAGATGGAGTGAACCAAACAGGTAATGATCAAGCGATCTCTCTTGCCATCCATCTCCACCCTCTGACAAACAGAGGCTAGGGACACCATTCCTTACCCATCCTGGATAATAGCCATTAATGGATTTGACCTCCATGAATTTATCTAGCTCTCTTTTAAACCCTGTTATAGTCCTAGCCTTCACAACCTCCTCAGGCAAGGAGTTCCACAGATTGAATGTGCGCTCTGTGAAGAACAACTTCCTTTTATTTGTTTTAAACCTGCTGCCCATTAATTTCATTTGGTGGCCCCTAGTTCCATTTGATAGCATCTGTAAACAAGTATGTCTGTAACAATACGGGCACATACACAAATTCCTCCATAAATAGAGATAAGAAAAACCAATACAACAATACAGTTCTTGTTTCTTTGTCACTTCCTCCTCCTCTCCCTTCCTCCCTTACTGGATGGCCAGACACGCCTCCTTTCCCCAACCAGAAGCCAGTTCCAAACTCTAATTTCCACCTCCGACCCAGATACTCAGACCCTATCCTCCTAGAGCTCAGTGATCCAGAGGGAGAAACAATCTGCTGCTCAGGTCAGGTTTGCAATTTCCTGTACATGGCTGCCTCCTACCTAAGAACTGCAATTTCTGGGAACAGTCTAGTTCCCTCCCCACACTCTTGTACTCTGTGTGTAAGCTGGGCTCTTCCGGGTCCAGCAGCCCCTTGTGATAGTCAACATCTCTGTAGCCAATTTCTGTGGGGATAACAGAAGATTCTGTATACTCAACATTAATTTCAGCAGAATTCCCTCAGGAGTACTTGGTTGTGTTTTGCCTTGTTGTTCTTTCCTTCCTAGTTTTTAAGAGTCAGAAGCTCCATCTCTTGTATCTCCCAACTCTACTATCTCTACCAATATGAAGAAAGTTCTTGATTTTTTTTTCCTTCTTTCCTTTCCTGCTCCTTGTTTGCCTTGCACTGAAATGTGCCTGTTAATTGCTGCTTCCACAGCAACACCGAAGTGAAAGATGGTATCTTTTGTCTACAGCTCTCATTGTATTAGTTTGTTTTTGCAAGCTGCTGATTCACTATCTCCTTTTTCTTTTTTGGGAGGAGGGATTGAAAAAAATAACTATTCTCTCCTTTTCTGCCTTGACACTACTCAAGTTTCTTAGTAATAGCAGGTGAGTATTGCTGCTCTTGCCCTATAGTATGCCTACCACAGAAGCAGAATAAGACACAGGAAGTATGATCGTTGTGTGTGTTATTCTGTAAACTCTTTGAAGCAATGACTGTACCTGAGTTACATTAAAGCTGCTAGGCACTACTGAATAATATGCAACTTGCTTCTGTTTTGGGGAGCTCTGTATGAAGCATCAGGAAGAGGGCAAGTTCTTCTTCGCTTTACCATTCTCTTAAATTGTGTTGTCCAATTTGGTTAACCTGAATTGTAAAAAACCTTGTTTGTGGGAAAGCTTTTTAATGCAAAAAGGACATGGGGACAAACTCATTCATAGAAATCAGCTTCATTTTATTACTTGACAACTTCTGTATCACCATCAATGAATTGACTAGCTAAGATTGAAATTTCAGTCTCGGCAAATATCTAATCTGCATTTGTGCAGATTAGATAATACACACATCATATGATGATCACTCAACTAGCCAGAGAAATGTATACTTTGAATTTAAAATATGGTTTGTGTGAGTCAATATTTGACATTGCAGACTAACAGGACTGCTTTCAAGAAAATGTTCCAGTTTAATCTTTTATTGAAAAGTTCCCTTGTAGTACTTTATTCCTTGTGAAAATCTAAAAGTAAAAAAAACTATCTAGAAGATGACCACCACAATGTGAACTGAGTAAAATGTATACACTATAAATGGTTTAAAAATCCTTAAAGCTGAACTTCATTTTTATTTTAGGCATTGATAACACGAAAGTGATAGAAAATGTTGGGGTTTTTAAAAACCTGATTGCATGTTTATAGCATGGTTTTGTTTTAAATGTAAGGCAACAATATTTAAATGGCAAACATTAAACATGATATTCTGCTCACACTCTCTTTTTACTTTTGTTTAGTGGGAGACTTTGATAAGATTTGGCGTGAACACTGTGAAGATGAGGAAACTCTTTGTGAATATGCTGTGGCAATGAAAAACCTTGCAGATAATCACTGGACAAAATCTTGTGAAGGAGAAGGTCGAATTGAATGGTGTTGCAGGTAAATCTTTGGTTTAGCAAGATACAGTTGTGTAAATTCTCAAACTGTCAATCTGAATCTTCAGTGTAGAGCATATTAGTAGTTTCTGCCTTCTGAACTTATCTCAATAGTCATGTTTGAAGGTGTGGTTATTTTTAAGAACAATGGGAAATATGATGCTGTTTTACTATTCTAAGACTTTTAGTCTATATTGTCCTGGATTTCAATCTTAAATCCAGACTAAAGCATTCCCAACTAGGCTTAGCAAAACTTTAAGTTGTTAAAATTGTTAGTAACTGAGCTACTTATAAAAAACACGCTTAGTATGGGGTTCTAAATCTAGACTCCTTAAATTGAGGTAGTACACTGTTGTGAAATAATTCATTGTGTTATTTGGAAAGAACTTATAAAAACTGGTTGCTTGCTGCTTTTTGTAGTTGTATTGATTTTTTTTTTTAATATAGATCTTTGCTATATAATTGTTGCATGTTCTTCTTATCTTCAAGTGGGTTTGAAAGCATACCGAGTTTTGCACCTGAATTTTATTTAAAGATGTAGAATGCAAAAATATATCCTTGTGTTACTTGTCATACCCAATATTCCATATATAAAGTTTACTTGTGGAAATGACTTTTTTTTGGTCAGACAGGATGGGTATAATGGATATAATGTCTCTTTCTGGACCAACCTACCTTTTAAGCTACACAGAATTCTTCCTTGGATCTGGGGTAGATATTTTTTTTTTCTCTTTTGTCCACAATCTCAGTTTTGAAACTACGTAACAGGTTGAACTGGCCTTAGAGCTGGGACCTAAACCCCAGATCGTGGCCAAATCAATTGACTGAAGGTTTGCCATAGGCATCACTTTGGGCCTGCTGTCATGTAAGAGGGGATGCCTTTCTTACAGTGAAAGGAAATAGAAAATGCCAGGATATTTTCCAACAGTAAGCTTCTTAAATGGAGAAGACCATAGGTGTGGGGCGAACTAGGCGATGGCATACAGATTCCTTCCTTTGTTTATGCCAAGTATCTGTGACCAAAGGATAGAGGCAAACTAAACTTTAAAAGCTAAGTGGAAGATTATTTGTGTAACCCTCATGACCAGAAAAAGGAACTGTTTTTTGCTTTGGAGGGGGCAAGCATATTTTAGGTAAGTTGTTTGATTTACTGAAACGAAGAAAAGGATCTTATTTTGAAATTTGAGAGTTTCCCTGGGCTTGAACAAAGACATTCATTGGATGTCCGATTATAAAGCCAGTCTTCCCCTACTTCTAAAAACCACATTTTTACATCAAAAGTTAGGAATGGGACACTTTCAGCCCACTTAATTAGCCTCATTAGCACCAGTCCTACAATTGACAGGTACTCTTCTCTCTTCCCCCCCTGAATATCTTGATTCTGTTTTCACTCTAGCTCATCATCTGAAGTGGGCTTTACCCACAAAAGCTCATACTATATATATTTTTGTTAGTCTCTAAGGGTGTGTCTATACAGCAAAGTTATTTCGGAATAATGGCTGTTATTCTGAAATAACTATGCGAGCTTCTACACAGCAATTTCATTATTTTGAAATAATTGCAAAATGACAGATGGCTTATTCTGACTTCTGTAAACATCATTCTATGTAGAATAAAGCCTATTCCAAAATACAGGCAGTCCCCGACTTACGCGGATCCGACTTATGTCGGATCTGCACTTATGAACGGGGCTTTCTCGCCCCGGAGCTCACAGGCAGCGATCCGCCACCTTGACCTCCGGGGCGAGAAAAGCTGCTCCCGGTGCCCCTGGTCTGCTGGAGACCATCTCCAGCAGACCAGGAGCACCGGGAGCAGCTTTTCTCGCCCCGGAGGTCGAGGTGGCGGATCGCTGCCTGTGAGCTCCGGGGCGAGAAAGCCCCGTTCGTAAGTGCGGATCCGACGTAAGTCGGATCCGCGTAAGTCGGGGACTGCCTGTGGCTT